GGCAAAATTTAGTAGGATGAGCCCCAGCCTCCCCAGCATCCCTCTTGATTGCTGTGTGAGGAGAGCAACTGTTTCTTTTAGAAGATATGGTCCTAGCCCTATCTTTATTCACTCTGTACTTAACTCAACCGAGAAATTACATAGCCAGACATTTGCTGCTAAAATTGTTTCTCTTCCCTTGGAGTTTGTATGGTCATTTTGAGAGGAAATAAGAGGAACGAGGTTTGAAAAGTTCTAAAAATTTTTTACATGCAAAGATTTAATGAGTATTCTTTTTCTAAACACATAAGACAAACACTTCTGCCAATACCAAACTCTGGACTTCCATTTTTGTTCTCATCACCCCTTTCATTTAATAATCCAAGAATTCTGTGATACACAAACCTGGGGTAATTGAGCACAAACAACGTTTCTTTGAGGGTAGCTGCCATGAAATCAGTGGAATGCCGGTGTGTTCTTCATAAGCCTTTCCTATCTCCTCTCTTCTCCCATTTGAGTAGGAGACCCCAAGTGTATTTAAGCTTGAACGACTCCCATCAGCCAAATTCTTCTCCCTCTTGCTGTCACTCTACCCACTAAACAGATCACATCCCTTCCATCTGCGCAACATTAGGGCCTGGGTATAAGACAAGGGAAGTGACTTCCCGATGTAACAGGCACTTCATGCGTCACCGGCACTGGCTCTTGCTTTGGCAAAGTTGTCGGTGCCCCTTCAAAGTCCCAATGCTCTGCTCACCTTTGAACCGCTCATGCTCATGCCGAAGCTCATGCTCATGCTGACGCTGGCACCGAAGACAATCTTGGACCTACATCCTGTCATCCTGCACCGGTGAGGAGATGCTCGGCAACCACTCTCCAGAGTGGTGATGCCTTGCCTTCCTGGCATTTTCCAGGGACTTCAGATAAAAACAGATTTTCTTGAATTCTCGGTTCTTTAGGAGTTAGTCATGCAACCTTATTGGAGCTGCACAGACTTAAAATCACTGCTTCCTTATTCTCACTGGGACATTGTTTTGAATCTATGAGTTAGGGATTCACCTTTTCCTCAGGATGACCTGCCCATGAGGTTGCTCCATCCAAATTCAAAACTGTGTCTAGTGAATTACGCCTGCCAGTGTCCTAGCTATGCCTGGACATGTCTGAGTCCCAAGGTGACTAAGCTTGGGCTCAAGCTGATGTCCTTACCGCCCTTTTCATTTAATACTCTTTTCATTATTTCACCCCATTTTTATTTTCACTGTATATTCAGTGATTAATCTTTATATATTTTCTATCTATCATTCTGTGTATTTTAAACTAGAAATAAAAAATAAAGATCAGCTTTCAAAAGTAAATCCATGGTGATAGACACCTACATATAGTTTTCCCAAATCCAAATGTTTTGGGTAGGCTTCTTTATTTATATATTGGCCATATCTAAAACATACTGTACATTTAATAATAAAATTAAGCATGTTCAAATAAATTTTATGAAAGATTCACTCTCTTCAATACATGTAATAGAGTCTGGGTTCCCATTAGTGCTTCTAACAAAAACAACTGTTCAGGCATTCAAAAGGTTTAGTCTACACAACCAATGCAGGTATATTGTGTCTGAAGGAGTAGGTCAAATACTTAAGCTATGGTGTAGCTCAAGACCAAGAGTAACTGAGCAAGCATTAACTTATGGAATCTTAATAGTCACCTCATTGCTGAAGTAAAAAGGAAACCAAGAGGAAACTTAATAATATCAAAAGTTATTTTAAAGGGAGTTCACATTGGTTTGAAGGGTACTTTGCTTCACACACAATATCCACCTTTGTAAAGCCCAAGAAACCCATATTTGTAACATACACACATCTTTACAGTTTTCAGAACATAAATCTTTAGAGCAGTATTATTTCTCCACAGATAAAAATTAAAATATTGAAAGTCTTTAGAAAAATAATAAAAGAACCCCTCCTGCAAACCAAAGGAAACTTGGAACTTTGTGTTAAGTGCTTATTTAACTATAAAAGGGTCTGTGTGTGTTGTAATGAATGGAAAACCGATTTTACTGTATTCCATTTGTGAACATCTTGCAGCAACCTATTTCAGTATTAGAAAGATCATATATTAAAAATGGTTTCTGCAGTCATCAATGTATACAAGTAAAAATTTAGTTTCTGTTAAATTAACACTTCATTAAAAAATCAAAATAAAAGCTCAACAAATATTTTTTATGTTGCACTCCAAGACAGGGGGGGAAAAATCAAAAATTTGAAGAACAGATTGCCAGTTATTCTATTCCATAACAGTTAAGTTTCTCAGTTCTTTTTTTCTTTTTTTTCTTTTGCTGAGCTCTCTGTCACTGGAAACATCTTAAACCAATTTCAAGTGCTACACCTGAATAAACATGTTGTAAAAGTGTTTATGTATTGAAGTGGGTCAGTTCAAGGTATGGTATTTGGCTGGAACTTCTAATTTCTCTTTTTACAGCAAAAGGGCTGCCAGAAGGAGGAAGTCTGAGCTGAATTAATACATTTGTTACAGTGGAAGTAGAATGGAAACTGCTCTGACCACAAATCAAACTGCCTCTTTCATTTATGCCAGTGATAGAGTTTTTCTAAGAAATATAGACTCTGGCATAAGGCCACTGTAAGTTTGCATTTAAAAGAGAAATCTATATGCTTATTTGTTTAAGGTTTACTGCTTTGATTATTTGTAAGTTCTCTCTTTGGTAGGACTGAGTATAGTGGCTTTTGTGAGGTGGAATGCCATTTTGATACTTGTAGGAACTGCACAGGCTTTGCCAATATGTTGTAGAACAATTGTTGAGGACCCCGATGCTGCCTGGATTGGTGCACACTTTTTTTTTTTTTTTTT